CGTTCCGAACAGCTTTGGACACCAGTTGAGAAGTGTAGTAGATCATTTCAATTTAAACGAAATGATAAAATCTGTATTGAACGATGTCAATTTCCTTTGGTTGTAGCAGAAGGAATCACTATTCACAAGAGTCAAGGTGCCACATACGCAAAGGTTGCTGTGCACACACAAAGTAGGATGACCAGAGCCGCCCTTTATGTTGCCTGTAGTCGAGCAACAAATGCATCTGGCCTATACATAGTAGGACCGTTTATTCCACCGAAATCGTTTCAGGATTCCGACCCAGTTAAAATAGAACTAGATAAGTTAAGGAACACCAAACAATTAAATCTTCATTTTGAGTTTCTCGAATTGGTTGAGAAAGATTTCAAAATATTTTTCCAATACATTCAAAGTTTTCGCGCTCATAAAGAAGATATTTGTACAGATTATACAATTACGAATTCTAATTTTATTTTTTTGGTGGAAACATGGTCCTTTCCAAACGAAAGCTGCAACTTAATGGGATTTTCTGAAATTGCCAGAATTGACTGCGTAAAAGACCCTCAAGAAAGAACCAGAAATAAGAGAGGTATCATAACATTAAGTCGATCTAATATTGTAAATGATATCAGCGTTCTTATGAAAAGGGATCTTTCCGAAGCATGTAAGACTTTGCAGTACATCGTTTTGAAATACAAAGGTATATGTCTAATGATAGTGTATAGAAATGCAAATTTTGCAGAGAGTTCCTTTCGTCAAATTCTTGCTGAAACCATAGAAGAATTGTTGCTACAAAATAACGACAAAATTATTATAGTTGGCGATTTCAACATTTGTCGTCGGAGTACTCAGAATTTAACGGAAACTCTGTTAGTAAGCAAAGGATTTTTTCCACTTTTGGATAGAAATTCTTGCACAACTAAGCACGGAACTCATATAGATTGGGCATTTACTAACATAGCGCCACATGGGATTATCTGTAAAAGTTATTCCACTATACATAGTCATCATGATGGTATAATAATCACGCGATGATAATTTATACGTATGTCGTTGATATTATAATCATTATCGATTCACATACAACAAATATTTATCCTCAATTATTTATCTTAAACTTCATATACATTTTTATGTTTCTTCATAATATAATGCAATTATGAATTGTTTAGATTTATTTTTATATTGTATATATTCGATATAATAAATTATATTGAAATGCATATATGTTCGGTTTATGTTAATTGGCTAATTTTATTTTAGATAAAATCTTATACCATAATTATCATAAACTACTCCATCAAGGAATAAGCCTTGGCGTGGCGATGGAGCTAAGTACTTTTGAAATCGAAAGGAAACTAATTATTCCATTTTAATTTTTCATGGTGGAGGGTATTAAAAGTTCGGCCAGGCCGAACTTAACTACTTTTTTACTTGTTTTTTTTTTAATTTTTCTATTTTTTATACCCTCCACCATAGTATGGAGGGTATATTATGTTTCTCATACAGTTTGTAACACCTCGAAATATATATTTTAGATCCCACAAAGAATATATTTTGCGACATTATTCACCGGAATTGTTCCAATTTAGTATTTTAAGTTCGTAATGGGTACTACAGCCTATGACAGAAAATTGTTTGTGCAGGTCCTCGTCTTCATATAGCCCCCATATAACGGTACCCCCGATATTCGGTATTTTGACGATTTGGCATTTTCTGTTCGTAATGGTTACTACAGCTTCAAACAAAAAATTGTTTGTTCTCTTCCCCAAATACCTCCCAATATTCGGTGCTTTGATGATTCATTCACATTATTCATCGGAAATGTTTCAAATTTGGTATTTGGTATTTGGGGAGCTATCTCAATGCTCCCTTCTATATTCTCGTCTAATTTTAAGTTCATTGTACACCCAATGTGTAATTTCAGCACAAATAGAACACTCGACCGAATTTTGTTGGGACATTGGGACGAAAATCGCTTTAGATGTAGCTCTAGCTCCGACATATATACTTCACCCGATTTAGAAAAAAAATATTCTTCTCAAAGTAACTTTAACAAGCACTGTATGGTAATGACATTTGGTACGGGCGACCGCCTGACTTTTGTTCTTTCCTCAATGTTTTTTTTTTATACCCTCACCCATATGGCCACAAAGGGTATATATCATTTGATACGGTCAAAACGTGCCTAGTCGAAATAACAGTTTTAGACCCTAGGTCTCTTTGGACCAAATCCGTTTCAGGACATTTGGATTCTATCTAGCAATGTCCGTCCGTCCGTCTGTCTGTCTGGCTGGCTAGTGCGCACGATAACTCACGAAGGGAGTATCCGATTTGGTCCAAACTTGGTACATCGTAATATTTTTGTCTCGAGTTCGGAGATGGGCAATATTGGTCCACTCCTTCTGGTACCTCCCCCACAAAAGATCGAAATTTTCAAAGAATACATTTTCTGCATAGAAAGAGAACCGATAATTTTGCCCAAACTTTGCAAGTCCTAATATTTGCGTCTGTGGTACGTCAGGTGCAAAAATGGACAATATCGGTACACTCCATCAAGTACATGCCCCAAAAAAGACAAAATTTTGAATAATTACAACTCTTATAAAATGTGATGTAAGAGTCCGATTGTGTTCAAATTTTACCCATCCCAATATTTTTATTAACCCAAAGGTTGCTGTTAAGCGGTCTATTCCTTCTGCTCTAACTTTGCAAATCCTAATATTTGCGAAAGTGGACAATATCGGTTTACTCCATCAAGTACATCCCCCACAAAGGGCCAAAATTTGTAATAATTACAACTCTTATAAAATGTGACGTAAGAGTCCAATTGCCTTAATATTTCACAAATTGACCCAATATCTAGTGTTAAGATGGAATATATCATTGCACTCCTTCTGGTAACTCCCACACAAAAGTTCAAAATTTTGAAATTCCATTTTTGCTCTAATTTCATTCAGACTTGGCACATCTCAATATTTCTATCAATACTTTAAAATATTGAAAAGTGATCACAAATAATAGCTAAAAACACCGAAATGTTAATATTTAAGGAGTTATGGCCATTTTAAAATATTGAATAATTCATGCCTCAAAAAGTGATCACAAATAATAGCTAAAAACCCCGAAATATTAATATTTAAGGAGTTATGTCCATTTTAAAATATTGTAAAATTCATTCTTTAAAAAGTGATCACAAATAATAGCTAAAAACCCCGAAATGTTAATATTTAAGGAGTTATGGCCATTTTAAAATATTGAATAATTCATGCCTCAAGAAGTGATCACAAATAATAGCTAAAAACCCCGAAATGTTAATATTAAGGGATTAAGGCCAAAATGTTGAGTAACCAAAACGAGCATAAAATCCGAAATAAGCGTCCATCATTTTTACTAACACAAGATCTGGTGTGAAAATTATATATATCGATTTACTCCTTCTGGCACCTACCCCACAGAGGGATCACATTTTTAATAACAAAACACTCTGAAAATGTATAATAAGCGTCCGATAATTTTCAAACTTCATACATCTAAATATTTCTAGTAACACAAGATGTGGTGTGAAGATAAAATGTAGCGGACCACACCTTCTGGTACCCCCAACGGGTGAAAATGTCAGCTTATCCCTTGTGGTACCTCACGCACATTTCAACATTTACTACAAATTATCAGATATGTCATATCAAGTGATATGGTCCAAAAATATATCAGACATATATCAGAGAGGAGTTGAATAATATTAGCCAAGTCCTACGGAACCTCCCCCATAAAAGGTTCAACATGATAAATGCGGATGCCAAAATATGTTCAAATAAACGGACAGTAGCTGGTGGCATACATCCGTCGGCAAAAAACGACTGATACTTATTAACTTGTTTTAGTTAAAGTCGTAATAATGGTCTATTCCTGACTTCTCAGACTTCCACAACATCCAAATCTGACTTCGCTAACCTCTCCCCAACCCATACATTGAAAAGTCAACGCCAACCTCAAACGACTACCATAATATTATGATTATGTGTGTGCAGTTAGCCAAGTCAAGTTGAGTTGAGTTTTGGGTTCAAGTTTTACTTTTACGGACACTATTACCATTACCACGGACACCACAACTACTGCCAGTATTCCAGTTGCAGAAACCTTTGGAAACCAGGAGAAGAAGAACAAGATGAAGAAAGGGTGAGTTCTCACAAACGGTGTTAGTATTACTACAAAAATACCTGAGAGAGAGAGAGAGAGTAAAAAGTTTATATATTTCCTAAAGTTGTGTGCATATATTCTGTTTATACACACACACATGCATTTGAATGGGTATGTGTGTGTCCACCACTTCACATGCACATAAAATATAAATGAGTTTGGGGCTTTTGTGTGCCATAACACAGAGCACACGGAGCCAGAAAAGAGAAAACAAAGTAAAGTTTTTACGATGTTTCCTGGCAAACCATAGAAACCAAACCAAAGTTGCATGCAACAGCACTTGAATGGACTTCAACAGAAAAGAGAAGGAGAGGGAGAGGGAGAGAAAAAAAAGAAAAACGCTTATGGCCATAATTATTAATTATTGAGCAATCATAGACTTCTGCCCTTGTGTGTTTTGCCCAAATAAACTGCAAAAGTGACTTTCTTACTCTCTAACCCCCTTCCCACGACATAGCCTTTGAATAGTTTTCATTCCTCAACCCCCCCCCCCCCCCTCCGCAATTACCATTCCAATCTATCTCTCCATTTGCCACAAGTTGAGTAAAACTTTTAGCCGTGTCAGTAATGGCAATTGTTGCAATTATCTCTGCCAATTGGATATTACCAATAACTGCTATTTTGGGCCAAAATGGCATGCGGCGATATTTTCGAAAATTGAATGCAATTGAATAATAATGAAGATTTACCCCTGCAGGGAATCCATTTCTATTGGACTATGGTTTTACGTATTCAAATTCTATGAACTTGGGGGGGTTTGACGTTATTGTTGTTGGGGCATGGCATGTGTTGTTGTTGTTGTTGCCTTTGTTACTTACCTACTCTCCATTTTACATTTATTGTCTCTAACTTTACAGTGTGTTTTAAAATCTTCGAATAGTTTGAGGCATTTACGTTCTTGTTGACACACCGATAGGGCATGATTACAGGTCGGTAGTGCATCAATAGGATATGGATCTTTTTCGGCTGAAAGGAAAGAACAAAACGATTGAAAAAGGAAATTAGTTGGAAAATGGATTTAAGTGATTTATTTAAAACTATACTTATTAAATAAATTTAAATTTACAAATGTTAGCAATAAAATATAGATTTGTATTGAAGACCTCACAAAACAAATTAAAAAGTATCTGTGGGTTTTGCCAACAGATGTATACCCTCAGCCAATGTACGATTATTTAAAAACTATTTTGATTTCTGTTATGATTATTCAAATGTTTAAACCTTGATGGAGTAAATTCCGAAGGAATGGGGCAATATAGGCCATTTCGTATCGGACCTAATATTACAAGAAAATCGAACATTTATAGCCAATTTATGGAAAATCATAAATTCCATATTTATCTCAGTTTTCTATATTCAGATATAGCAAGTTGTAAAGAATAGCGAGTTGTAAAGAATCGCTGACTTGTTTCGCAAGTTATGACAGATAAAAGTCCCTTTGTGAGTGAGGTACCAAAAGGGGTTCATAGATATGTATCGTCTGAATAACAAATATTGTATTAGCAAAAATGTTTGTATGTGTGAAACTAGAAGAGTGTTTAATGCTTTCTGCCCATTCTTTGAGCATTTTGTTTTTTAAAATCCTGAACCTTATGTGGGGCAGGTAGCAAAAAATGGTTCGTTTTCTACCTTCTTTATCTAAGATCTTGCATTGATGGTAATACCGAAATGTACCAAGTCTTGAATATAGGAGGATGTTAATTTCGCTTTTTATGAGCTTCATGGATATTCAAAATGTTGAGCCTTTGTGGTGGATCTTTTTTTAGAGGAAATAATGGGATGTGTGAAATATAAAGAGAACCTGATGCTTTTTTCGTATTTTATAAACTTTTTGGTTATTCAAAACTTTGACCCTTTGTGGGGGAGGTATCAGAAGGAATGGTCCGATGGTCTTTATAACAGATCCTGTGTTGATAGAAATATTCAGATGTGTCAAGTCAAAATGGATGTTAATTTCGCATTTAATGAGCTTAATTCATATTCAAAATTTCGACCTTTTGTGAGGTAGGTACCAGAAGGAGTGGGCCGATGTATTCATCACATTTTACAAATCACATCAGATTTTATAAGAGTTGTAATTAATCCGAATTTTGACCCTTTGTGGGGGAGGTACTTGATGGAGTGGATCGATATTGTCCATTTTCGCACCTGACCTAGAACTGACGCAAATAATAGAATAAAAAAAGTTGAAAAAAACCCGGATTATCGTTTCTCTTTCTGTGCAGATACAATTTTTTTGAAAATTTCGACCTTTTGTGGGGGTGGGCCGATATATTCCATCTTAACACCAGACCTGGGGGTAATATAAATATTGGGATGTGCGAAATATGAAAATAATCGGACTCTTACATTACATTTTATGAGAGTTGTAATTATTCAAAATTTTTACCATTTGTGGGGGAGGTACTTTATGGAGTGGACCGATATTGTCCATTTTCACACCTGACCTAGCACTAACCCAAATATTAAGTTTTGCAAAGTTGGAGCAAAATCGGATTATCCTTTATCTTTCTGTGCAGTTAATTATTGTCTTTGACAATATTGAAATTTTGTGGGGGAGGTATTAGAAGAAGTGGATCGATATCGCCCATCTGAGGATCCGATCTAAGTTTAATAATCACATTACAATGTACCAAGTTTGGATCAAATCGAATATTTTTTTCGAGAGTTATCATGCGCACCAGCCAGCCAGCCAGACAGATGGACGGGCGGACGGACATCGCTAGATCGACTCCCAATGTCCTGAAACGGATTTGGTTCACAGAGACCTAGGGTCTAAAACCGTTATTTCGAAAAGGCACGTTTTGGTCGTATCAAATGATATATACCCTCTCTAACCATATGGCTGAGGGTATGAAAATGGGTAACTAAACACCATTGAACTCAGAACTTATACCCTCCACCATACATAGTATGGAGGGTATATTAATTTGGTATGGAGGGTATTTGTAACTCATCGAAATAATAATTTTACACCCAACAAAGTATATATATTCTTGATCAACGTAAAATTCCTGTCCGTCCGTCCGGCCGTCTGTCCGTCTGTTGTAATCATGCGATCTCTCTTCTCTCTGCAAGCCCACGATATCGTATAGCCCCCATATAACGGTACCCCCGATATTCGGTATTTTGATGATTTTATCCACACTTTTTAACGGAATTGTCTAAAATTCTTCACAAGGAATTCTTTGTGAGCACTTTACCCCCTCAAAGGTAATTGTCTATATAGGTCCACGATATAGCCCTCATATAACGGTTCGGTATTTTAATGACTTTAGCCACATTTTTTAAGGGAATTTTTTGAAATTCTACACAAGGAATTCTTTGTGAGCACTTTACCCCCAGACATAGATTTGTCTATATAGGTCCACAATATCGTATATCCTCCAAATATATCGGCACCTTCCGATATTTGGTATTTTTAATTTTTTTAATTTTTTTTTTAATTTTTAATGGATTTTATTTGTTTCATAATAATAAATAAATAATAAATTTTCATAACTCGTTCCAAATGGTGGAGGGTATTCAAAGTTCGGCCCGCTTTTTTACTTGTTATACCCTCAGTCATATGGCTACAGTGGGTACATCATTTGATACGGCCGAAATGTGCCACATCCCATACTGGTTAAATGTTAATAAATCGCCTTACATACTTGATACATATGTTTGTTACAACAAAAATTAATTTTACTACGGTTTGTAGGAGCATCAAAACTAAATTTAAGCCTACTTCTAGGCAACCAAAGAAATTAGAACAATTCCAGGAATACATTTTGGCAAGACAATAAATTTCTATGTCTATTTTCTTTTTGTTTGCTTTAGCTGGTGAAATATATGTGCACAAAACTTTCTATGTTTCAGGTGAATCATTCTCATTTGTAGGTAGCTAGGATTTATGTCCTGCCCAGATTTTAGTTTTCTCTACTTTTTTTTGTGGAAAAGTCGAAAAAGTCATTGTTTTACAAGTGATTGTAGCATAAACACTTAAGGAAACAATTCTTCCCCCCCCATACATATGTGAGTTTCTTTTCTATTCCTCTTCGTTTTAGTTTTGTTATTTTTACTTGTCAGGATAAACAATAGAACACTTAAGTTAAATGATTGTAACCATTGTTTGTGTGCTTTACTTGTATACTCGTATGTATATGTGGCGAAGAGATAGTAGGCAGCTGCCTAGGCAGATACTTGCAGAACTGTTACAAAAGTTTTACTTTCTTTCCCATTCAGCCAAGAATAACGAATGAGCACAACAAACTCGTAAAAATGGTTATTGTAAACTTGTTTTGATTTTTTTTGTTACAAAATTCAAATTTCGGAAAGCTAACAAATACCCCCTACTAATCTTTAGGAAAATTTGCAAAAGGAAATTTAAATTTTTCATAGACTTACCTTTCTTTAGTACAAAACCACAGGGATGATCGAATAAGAAATCTCGAAAATGATTACAATCAGGATCCATACCCGGCTCCTTGCACAGGCACGTGGGACGAAAGAATTGAAAGGCTTGCAGGGTTCTTAATGCCGCTTGACATTTGGTAACGGTTACTGTACTGCAGGATACTGAAATGAGAAGAATAAAAAAATGTTTTTTTTAGTTTACAGCTAAAAATATAAAAGTAATTATTGAATGTTCCGAATTATAAGACAATAATCGAAACTAAAATCCCGTGCGCCATAAAATCGTCCATGTATAGAAGAGTAGTGAAATAACTGATTGACCTCAAACGGATAGGGCTAAAAACGGATATGAAAAAACTTGAACGGATATGGAAAAGCTACAACCAATTTCAGACTGCTATCATTTCTAAGCCACTCGTCCGACAGCTGTTAAAATTATTCCAGTGACAGGTCATTATATTGTTAACAAGCGTACAAAAACATTTTGGTGAGAATTTTCCAGAAAAAAGGTTATTCGTGATGGAATTCAAGCGTGATAGTGTGATTTCTTTCTATTTGGCTGGAAAACCACAAGTGGCTATCGTTGGATTACTCCAGCATTTAAACACAAAGAAACCAGTAAAGAAAGTCTTAAAGTCGGGCGGGGCCGACTTTATTATACCCTACACCACTTTGCTAATTTAGTAGAGCTCCACATAACAATTAAAAGTTTTTATGGGAGAGTTCAATCATACACGCTACGATTATAATTATAATTTAAAGTTCACAAGACTCAATATGCCGAAGCATTTGAATATTTTAAATTCGGACTTGTATTGCCCATTTGGTGCACAATTAATTTGAAATCGGATAAAGATATATATGGGAGCTATATCCAAATCGGAACCGATCTCGATGAAATTTGGAAAAGATATTTCTGAGTGGTATTTGATATATTTCCCTGAAAATCGTTGTTACGGAGTGCATATTACGGCTGTGGGTAACAAATATAACAAATCGGATGAATATTAAATATGGGAGCTATGGCTATATCTGAACCGATTTTGATCAAATTTGGCATACTTATTTTTAGGCCCAATTTGGTTGTATGTGCAAAATTTAATACTATTTGGACAAATATTAGACGTTTGGTGCACAAAAAACGGCAAATCGGACGAAGATATATATGGGAGCTATATCTAAATTTTGACCGATTATCTCCAATTTCAATAGGGTTTGTCCTAGGGCCAAACAAATGATATGTGCAAAATTTCATCTGGATAGGGCAATAAATGCGAACTGTACTTTGTTTACAGACGGACAGACGGACGGACGGACATGCATAAATCGACTCAGAATTTGATTCTATGCAGATCATCAAAAGGAACTATGGGTCTATCTCGTTTCCTTTTGCCTGTTAAAAGCAAATGCACAAAGACATAATACCCTGACCACCTTGTGGTGTAGGGTATAAATAGACTCAAAAGAGCTAAAGAGTTGCTTCGCTTGGCCGAAAGTAGTGAACTGCCGAATTTGGTTTTCCCCGATGAGAAAACTTTCGTTGTCCAGCAGTTTGTAAACAAACAAAATGATCGTATTTACTTGCCAAAGAAGTCAGTTGAAAATGTGTACCTTCGGTTGGCCACCAGAACTCAAGCACAGGCCATGGTGATGGTGTGGGCCACTATAACAGTCGATGGTCGCTCTCCACTATTATTAATCGACCGTGGCATCAGAATAAATGCCGAATATTATCGCGAAAATATTCTGGAGGGTGTATTAAAGCCTTGGGCACGAAAACTTTTTGGCTCGGACCTCAGCACCATCGCACTCACCACGCGCCACTCAAGAATGGTTACAAAATGAGGTTCCTCGCTTCATTTCCAGGGCACAATGACCACCAAAATCTCCGGATACCAATCCGTTGGACTATTGTGTCTATAGTATTTTTGGAAGCAAGGTTGACACTGAAAAATACAAAAGTGTCGATCACCTCAAGCAAGCGCTTCCCCGGAATGAACCAAAATACAGCAGAGCAACATTCGGCAGCGTGTGACGGTTTCATTGGCCGTTTGAAGGCCATAAATCGTGCCAAAGGTGACCAATTCAAACAAATCTAAACTTATTCTAAAAGTTGATGCTATTTCCGACATTTTTTGGTTTCATTCAATAAAATTTAAAAAAAATGTAAAATTTATAGCGTTCGACTTTGTTGCAGTTTTTTTATCTTACCCTGTATATTGGGTACAGTTTGTGCTTGTAATCTAAAAATGTTTATTACGGTTGCTGTTCATAAGTAGCCTATACATATGGAAGCGGCTTCGGCTATCATAATTGTACGAAAATTACTGAATGGTACTGTGTTTGAAATTCGGCGATGGTTTGGAAATGCGTCCTATACATATTTGTACATAAAATACAAAATTTAGTGAAGGGATAGGGCTGCAATTCTGAAATGATATTGAGGTCTCCCTTGGTGTTTAGAAATTAAATATGGAGGTGATTTTGGGAATGTGTATTTTAATTCCCCGAAAAGGAATACGTAATTTGGTATTGGGTGAAGGAATGGAGCTGAAATCCGGAAATTTGATGATGAGGTCATTATTGGTGCCTTTAAGATATATAGGTGATTTTGGAAATGTGTACTATAATTGTACGAAAAGTACTAAATTGTACTAAAGTTGGTATTTGTTGAAGCGATAGAGATAAAATTTGATATTTGGATAATTGTTGGTATCTAAGGTTGAGATTTGGTGATTGGATTGAAAATGCACACTATAACTGTATGGAAAGTACTAAATGGTAGTAAATTCGGTATTGGATGAAGGCATAAAACTAGAATCCTTAAACTTGATATTTAGATCTAATTTGGGGGTGGTTTTGGAAATGTGTACTACAAATTGTACGAAAAGTACCTAATCGTACTAAAATTCGTATTAGGTTAATATATAGAGCTAAGATCACGAAATTTGTTATTGAGTTGTCTGTTGGTATCTGAAATAGAGATTTGGTCTTGATTTGTAAATTGGCTATTGGTTGAAGAAATAGAGCTGAAATCCTGAAATTTTTTATGAATGGCACTGTTGGTGTATGTGGTTAAGATATGATGGTGGTATTGAAAATGTGTGCTATAACTCTCCGAAAAGTACTAAGTGGTACTTAATTGGTTAATGGGAGAAGGGATAGAGCTGGAATCTCAAAATTTGATATGGTCGTGGTTTTGGAAATGTGCACTATAATTGTACGAAAAGTACTAAATGGTACTTCATTATACCCTACACCACATAGTGGTAAGGGTATTATGTCTTTGTGCATTTGTTTGTAACATGGAGAAGGAAACGAGATAGACCCTTCATAGAATCACTTTCTGAGTCGATTTATGCATGTCAGTCCGTCTGTCCGTCCGTCTGTCCATGTATTCTTGTGAACAAAATGCAGGTCGCATTTATTACCCGATTGAGATTAAATTTTTCAAACAATATTTTTTTTGGCCCAAGGACGAACCCTATTGAAATTGGTGAGAATCGGATTAAATTTAGATATAGCTCCCATATATATCTTCATCCGATTTCGGGTTAAATGTGCACCAAATGTCTATCAGTCCAAATTACCTGAATTTTGGCACACCCAACCGAGTTCGGCCTAGAAGCAAGTATATCAAATTTGGAGAAAATCGGTTCAGATATAGCTATAGCTCCCATATATATGTTTTATCCGATTTGGTGTTTAAGTCCCTCACATTCCTCTTATGCACTCCACAACCGTGGTATTTGGTACCAGGTATATGACGGAGCACAGGAATAGCTGTTTTAAATTTTATCGAAATCGGTTCAGATTTGGATATAGCTCCCATATATATCTTCATCCGATTTCGGGTTAATTAACCACCAAATGGCCAATATCAGCCCAAATGGCCCGAATTTTGGCACATGTGACCGAGATTAGCCTTAAAGCAAATACAACAAATTTGGAGAAAATCGGTTCAGAAACAGCTATAGCTCCCATATATATGTTTTATCCGATTTGGTGTTTAAGCCTCTCACATTCGTAATATGCACTCCACAAGAATGATATTTGGTACCAGATATAAGATACAGCTCAGAAATAGCTGTTTGTAATTTGATCGAAATCGGTTCAGATTTGGATATAGCTCCCATATATATCTTCATCCGATTTCGGGTTAATTGTGCACCAGATATAGCAACCATATATATGTTTCATCCGATTTAGTGTTTTAGTCCCATACATTCGTAATATTCACTCCACAACCGTGATATTTGGTACCAGGTATTAGATGGAGCACAGGAATAGCTGTTTTAAATTTTATCGAAATCGGTTCAGATTTGGATATAGCTCCCATATATATCTTCATCCGATTTCAGGTTAAATATGCACTAAATGGTCAATATCAGCCCAAATCACCAGAATTTTCGTACATAAGACCGAATTCAGTCTAGAAGCTAATACGTAAAATTTGGAGAAACCCGGTTCAGAGATAGCTATAGTTCGTAAAATGCACGATAGAATTAGATAGATTTTGATTTTGTACCAAATATCTCTTAGAGCTCTGAAATGCCCTGTATAAACCTTTTTACGAGAGCTGTACTAAATATGCATAGTGGTGTAGGGTATCATAAAGTCGGCCCAGCCCGACTTTTGAGCTTTCTTTACTGGTTTTGTATTAAGTTAATGTATAGAGCTAAAATGCCGACATTTTATATTGAGGTATCTATTGTTATATTGAATTAAGATATGGAGGTGATTTTGGAAATGGGTACTATTATTGTGCGAAAACTACTAAATGGCACTAAATTTGGTTTTGGGTGAAGGAATAGATCTGATATTAAGAAATTTGATATTACGAACACCGTTGGGTATGGGATTGAGATATAAGTGGATTTGGAAATGTGTACTATAATTGTCCCTAAACCCCACCTGAGTAAAATATTATCAACCTAATTCATTTCTTTCTGAACCTATAGAGATTTCCACAGTCGGTCGGTCAGACTGACAGGCCTTACTAAATCGACAGTTCCATTATAGTAGGGACGGTATATTAAGTTTGTCATTCCGTTTGTAACACCTCGAAATATACATTTTAGATCCAACAAAGTATATATTCTTGATCAGCATAAAATTCTATGTCGATTTAGCGATGTTCGTCCGTCTGTTCGAACAAAATG